TTTAATTTATTTTTAATGCAATAAGATTGAAACCTGTTAAGGTCTTCTTGCAATCGAGTACAATCTGAGATTGATTTGATTGGGCATAAAATTTTCATATCATCCGCATAAAGAAATATTTTACTGTGAAAAAAATTAGAATATATATCGTTCGTAAATATCGTAAATAACAAGGGACCCAAAAGTGATCCCTGAGGTAATCCAGAAGGTATTAAGAGTGGGGTAGACTGATAACCATTGAGAACAACGATTTGACTCCGATTCTCAACATATGAGCTGAACCAGCGAAACAGGTTACCGCGTATACCAATCATTTGCAATTTTTGTAAAAGTACGACATGATCTATCCTATCGAAACATATATATATATATATATATATAGAATCCTTAAACTGAAACTAAATTTTACAGATGTGTATCCTTATCATGCCCTAAATACAATTGTGTATTTAGTTTACAATATACCCAGAAAGGAAAATTGTCTCGTCGTTTTCCTAAAACGTATCATTAATTAATCAAGAATAATGAGAAATCAGTAAATATTTTAGGAAGTAACAAAACCCAAAGCAACATTATGAGATTAACGAAATAGCCATTAGCAAAATTTGCCTGAAACCTTAATAAAGCTGAGCCTTTAGTAATTACTAAAGCAGGATCTCCAATTTCTACAGTACCGCCGCAATCTGGCTGTAGAAATATTAGCGGGAAAGTAGCCGCTTGGTTATTTTTAACACCGGTTATTCTATAACCTCAACTGTGCTTTTTGTTAGTAATAATAGCGATAATTTACATTTGCGACTGGCAAGCGCGACCCTAATTGTTTTTTGGCATGCGTCGCGGCGCGGTTAACAACGCCGAACATGGATTAACTAAGTAGAAACGTAGATTTAGTAAGCTTTTAAAACTTGGAAATTAAACCTGAATTTCTATTGAATAAGGAGTTTATTTTGTTATGAAGTTTTTGAAGTGAAAACCGTGTCCAATACAATAATGGATTGAGGATGTTGTTGGGGCTCCCACGCTACTGCAGTGCATCGGGTATGTTCGCAGATGCCCACGTAGACGACTTCCCTTCAGTGATGCGCAAGAGAATTGCATCGTTGATGCACAGGGTTCGTGGGAGCGCCAACAGTGTTATAGTATATAATTATAAATAAGACGACTGTTTGGCTCAGCAATTTTATAATATCGACGTACTGACAAGTATAGACTAAGGACGACAGACATAGACTAACTGCTCATATAACATCCCCCTTATTAACAAGAATGTAAATTAATAAATTAAAATAAAAAGTATTTTGTCACCGACTGTACTAACTGAAACAATTAGTTACTTTACGTATAGGAGAGCATTAGGTCAAGTCTATAAATTAAGTCTTTCTGGTCGCCTAACAATCCTACCACTCCTAGTACGCGTATGACTACTAGTACTCTGAACCGGTGAATTATTGACTTCTTCAACATCTATTTCAAACATAGGACCTGAAGTTGAAGGTGAACTTGATGGTGGAGGAGATATAATATGTTGTCTGTTTCTTCTCAACGACGTACCATCTCTTCCTTCAATCTCAAAAGATCGCGGTTCTTCATATATACTTTTTATTTTTCCAGGCATCCAATTACTAGATGGATTCTTTTTGTAAAATATATCTTGACCTACCTTGACATCTGATAAGACTCTTGTTTTTCGATCGTAATATGATTTAGATTTCACTGCATTCTTCCTTTTCGTTTCCAAGTGATCTTCAAATCGCACAACTTTAGGACGAAGCTTTTCTGCTATCGTTGGTAGTTGTGTCCTCAGAACTCGTGACATTAGTAACTGCGCTGGAGAAGCTAAGTTCCCCCTAGGCGTATTACGGTATTGCAATAGAGCCAGATACGGGTCTGTGTTAGTCTCTTCGCACTTCATTAATATGCGCTTACATACTTTTACGCCTGATTCTGCTAACCCATTCGACCTCGGTAAATAGGGACTGGAAGTAGTTTGCTTGATTCCCCATTGACGTGTGAATTGATGAAACTCAGCGGAATTGAATGGAGGCCCGTTAAAGCTCACAATCTCCACTGGTATTCCGTGTCTACTAAAAATAGGTTTAAGCATGCTTATTAATGCTTTAGCACTAACTGTACTAATATTTGTGACTTCAATAAAATTGGAATAGTAATCTTCGACAACAACATAAGTTCTATTCTTATGTGAGAAAAAATCTATACCAACTTTACCCCATGGAATACTAGGTATTTCATGTGACATAAGAGGCTCTGGTAGATTTGCATTTCTATGAGAAAGACATGCAGGACAGGACTCTACCATATTCTTAATGTCACTTGACATAAATGGCCAAAAAACATGTCCACGAGCAAATGCCTTAGATCTTTCTATTCCTAGATGACCACTATGTATAATTTTTAAAATATCGGACCTGATCTTTTTAGGAATAATCATGCTATTACCTCGGAATAGAAGCTCGTCTTCAGTATGAATTTCATCTCTATACGACCAATATTCTCGAACAAGGTTTTGCCTCGATGTTATCGGAAAAAACCGGAGTGTGCCATTCTGAGGCACTGGGTACATATACACGTTCATGCGACCGGTGCCTCAGAAGGTATATATATGAAATAACTTTGTTTTTAAAATGTTTTAACATAGTTTTTAAGGTTTGATTGTTAATAACATTTCTATGGATCTAGTATCTGAAATATAACATTATTGTTAAAACTTCTTTAGCGACATTGTGTGCTTTTTTTTGTATTGGTAAAAAATGACAACTCGCGTCATGACATGACACGTGGGCTGATCACATCACAGGCCACCTGTCCTGATCGTAAGACGGAAGCAATAAAATTGGAAAGGTTGTTGACTTTCAATATATTGGAAGAAACATAGTAATATTTAATTTTATCGTATTATAATAATGAGTCTCTATAGGACTAGGACTAGGACGTCCAGGTGGCAGTTTTATTACGAAGAAAATGCATATTTTTTACAATAGATGTCGCTAGGTGCGCTTAAATGTGATTCATGTAAGTTGATTTTTTTACAATAGATTTCGCTAAGTGCGCTTAAACGTGATTCATGTAAGTTGATTTTACTGAGAGATAAACTTTTTTAATGTAATATAAATTGTCATGTTTGTGTACGATAGCGCAATAAATAAATATTGTATTCTACCACATAAATGAAAGTACTTTTATACTGATAATTAAAGCAATTCATGCAAAATTATTCCCTAACCATTTCAAAATATCAAAAATGCACAACGTTAATATTCAAGTTTTCACTTCTGTCGGCACTCCCGGAGTGCAACCCGTCGTTTTTTATTGTAGAAACGTTGCCGATATTCAATTTTAATATCGGCTTCATAATGTCATCATAATTACTTAAGTTAATAAACGGATTATTACTAGAAGTAAGAGTAATCAAACGGATCCTGCTCAACTACACTCGATAGCAATTACCCGATCTAACAGATCATAAAATATTAAACTAACAAAAATAAAAGTTATATCTACCGAAAGTACGACAGAAACAAAGAGTGTACTTATGACTACACGACTGAAGTAAAACTTCTTTAGATCCATCTGTATATATATATATATATGTGTGTGTGTGTGTGTGTGTGTATACAATATATACATGTATGTACATATACATATTTCATTTACTAGCTATAAGAGAAAGAGCGAAAGAAAATGTGCGCGTGCACTGCTTCTCTTGTTTAAATCCCCCACTCAACCCGTTCGCCTCGCCCGAACACATTTTTCGTAACGCGTAACGCATTCGCCAGCTTACCCCCCAAGTCAAGCGTGCCTAAAGAAGTTTCTATTCAAAAATCTAAAGTACCTACTGGCAACTTACATTGTAATCAAGCAAGAAATATAATGCTAACAATTTGCATATATTTGAATAAAGTTGCGATTGTTTAATAAAAATGTCTCAAGCTTTATTAAAAATGTCTGATACGTTTAATCATTTTTTTTAATTTTTGTCCATCTATATGTCAGACGTGTGCTAAGATTTTATTACCAATTAATACAACTGGAAAAGCCCTCTTCTTTGGAAAATTCTTGATGATAATTTTCAAAACTGATTATTCTCAATAGTTTATTGTTTATTTGAATCATCACGAAATACACTTTGTATAGATATAACTTTAAAGTTGTAAGTTTTAATAGATTTTGAGAAAATCGAATTAGAGTTTGCAAGTGACCTGGTTTTTGTTTACTGACAATTGGCTGCCTAGTGTAATTATAAAATGGTTAAGGCTGTTTTATAATACTGTATCTATACTCATGTCGAAATATTCGAATTATGAATTTAAAGATTATTTTTTTTATAGACGAACTTCATAAACGCACATAGATAAAATTTTAAATTAAACTCTGTAATGTACTGCTAGCTGTATCGTAAACTAACTTTTTAATCATTACATCATACTTTTATTTTTTAATTAAATCTATTAGACTATGATATTAGGCTTAATGTGAAAATGGAGGCGCACGCATTCTTAATTTAAAAATTAATCTGTCACACTTCCCATAAAATTGTATCAGCCGATCGTGTTTTGTTTTCGGGATTTCAGAAAAGTTTTGCAAAATACTTCTTTGTTACTTTGTTTAATATCAATAAAATTGTTCCTATGAGTGAAGATAATGTAGTTTATGCAACTGCGTATAATTTAGGTATTAAAACACTCGAGTAAACAGACTCTCTTGTTTTAATACCCCTTCTTATATGACAGTCGCCTAAAGTACTATCATTTCTCATCTTATCAAATATGGCAATTGTATAAGCTTTTACTAATAATCTAGTCTAAGAATCTACCTGTATTCGAGCAAATGTTACTGTATGTTGGTAAAAGTTAAAGAATTTGCGAAATCCCTTTAATTTTAATACATAGAACAATAACATGATATCCAATAATTGGTATGTTTATCGTAAATACTATTAAATCTTTGTATTTGATTTCACTTAATTGACTTAAATCTCTCACCTGAACAGTCCTTTCCCAATCCGTGTATTCATTGACGATTGTGAAGAATATCTCGCTCAAGTGATATGTGTAGGCATTTCTCACGTAAGTCCTGTAAAATAACATTCTATTAGTGGTGTTCTAAGAAAAACACTGATTTTTTATATAATATAGGCATTATTTTTTACCTTAAATATAAAATCAATATTAAATCATCCTTATGATTTAAACAGTTGTAAGGAAAAAAAACAATGTCTCAGGCTTTGAATTCAATTATTTTGCAGTCCTATAAATATTAGGTTGCAAAAATCTATGTATGGAATTGATTAATCGCTTTTTCATAATCTCAAAATTTGCTTTATTGTTTATGCAAATAAAAAGAATGCGACTTCTCCAAGTCCTCAGGATTACACTTGTATAACTTCAATACAACGTCATATTTTATTTATTTATTTGGTAATGGGTAAGCTCTTGGTTCTCCGGCATCCGGCCCAATAGCAGAGATTGGATCTACGATATAGTGAGCTTATCCAGAAGGAGCCTAATCAATCGGGCTTTAAAAAGACTTCAAATTTCGATTAATTCAATCACGTCACGAACACCATGTCTGACATGCTGTCATTATTGCCTTTTTTTTTAAAAAATTCAAAATTCAATATCTTTCATTCAGTCTAGGCTGTTACAAGCACCTGTGAATGTCGAAAAGTTACGCCATCAGTTCGCAAATCTACGGCGGGAGACCTTGTACTGAGAAGAACCGGCAAGAAACTCAGCAAGGGCTGTTTTTTCTCCCTGTATTATATACAGAGTCGTCAAATTAAAAAAATGACTTCAATATGAGGTAACTCATAAAGTCATTTTCCTTTTGTCTTTAAAATATGAATGTATAAACGTAGTTTTTAATATTATATGTATGACAATCAATTAGTGTTCTCTGCGCGATAATGGTGTACAAAGAATTTTTTGCGAAAAATCTTGTTATCGTCAGCTCTTCGCGTAGGCATCGTAATACGCCCTGTTTATACAAAAAGACTGAAAAAAACACCTTTATTCACGTTTCGGTTCAGTATCGCGTTATGAACATGATTGTATTATTTTAAAAGCTTTTGTTGCGAACCTCTTTTTATATTGTGCCACGTGTACGAAACGTGACGCGAGAGGTGGCAGAGAAATATTTTCCCTTTTGCCCAATTCTAGACAGCGTTCGCTCGCTGAGCATTGTGACACTTCACTGGAAAAAAACTTCCCAGTGAAAGCTTACGCTTGAACAGGCCTGATTTAGAAATAATTGAAATACGTCCTACTGTGACACAACAAAAACCAGTGAGCTGTATAAGAACTGTTGTCGTTGTATTTGAATGAAGTGAATTGTGGAATTGCTACGTATAATGCATGTAGTTTGCAAGCGAGAGCGCTCATTTGTTATTGCAACCTAGATACAGCTCGACAAACAGCTTATACCCACATTAATTAGGTTGTGCATTATTAAAACAGATATCAGCAACACGTGTACGAAAGCTTGCATAAGTGATTAGATTTCACAATGTGTACTTATTATACCTTTAACAAATCATTAATTCAACAATGAGGTTTACAGCGTCGTCGGAGAACCTTCCGTTACTACCCATTTCCATGAAGAGGCTCTATAACGGAGCCCTAAGGTCGAACACCAATTTGCTGAATAAACATTGCCCTCACCTTATTATTCTATCCCTCCTCTCGCCCTCAAATCCGTTTTGTATGTCCTGAGCCGAGAATTTCCAAAGGGCCTCACTAGTAACCACTCCGAATAGCAGATCGTATTTATTTTGACCTCCCCTGATCCCGAATATCCTATCGCCGCTCCTTTTATCCGCTTTGAAATTGTTAACTCCGGACACACTAGTGAAACCTTGGAGGTCGTTCGGAATGAAAAATGTTAATAGTTCTTTAGCGTAGTCTGTTTTAACAACAACACCGTCAACGGATGGTCCGAATGCTGTCAAATAGCTTGGTGTACTGATTGCTGCTGACATAAGTTCCTCGAGAGGTACTTCTCTCAGACAGTCTACTATTAGTTCGTGGTCTTTCACTATGTCTTCTGGAAGGGTGCAGTTAGATTCTTTAGCCAGTTGAAGAGAAAAGCTGACGGGGTCCTCAACTAAAGCCCAGGAACTTAACGCCGATCCAGATAGGAGAATAGCGCGTTGAAAAAGACCTAAAACAAATAATTTTCGTAAATACACAATAACCCCTAATATATAACAGTAGGTATTTAAAATTTTGCTGCTACGCAAAAATCAAACGAATACCGGTATGATTAAAACAACTTTTCTCATTTCAAATTGTTTTATAATATGAACGAAACATGTTACGTAAACTTTTCCTCACATCTTATGAAGTACCTCGAACTTTCTGGATTAATAAATTGCCCATTGGCAATGATAAAAGTCTTACCCCGACTTCGTCATATTTAACACTTTTATAAGATCGATAGAAACATTTAAAAGAAAATCATTTTCGCCTGTGCTAAGAGAAAGATTAGCATTTTTTAATGGCACTTCTAAATGGAACTGCTATAATTATCTTCATGAAGGATATTTACTGAGATTTATTTGCGACCCAATCATATTTATTTGATTAGGGATAGAGCGCATATTTCATATTCCTATTAATATTTACTTTGAAAAAACAAAAAAAAAACATTATCCCTTTTTAAAAATAAAAAAAAAAGTTTAGTATTGAATAGTTTGACTTACCTGGCATGACAGTAGGTGAGATCATAAGGAAATTGATACAAGCGGCGCCAGAACCGTGACCAAGCATCGTGACATTACCAGCGTCACCACCAAACAGCGCGATGTTCTGTTGCACCCAGTGAAGTGCAGCTATTTGGTCCATCAGTCCGTAATTGGCCACCCTCGCCTTCAAGTGGGGAATCGGGTTGGCATTCAGGAATCCTGTGAGAAAAAAGATGACACTACAAGAAAACTATTACTTATAACTCTTAATGAAGCGGAAGTATATCAAATAACAAAGGTAATATTTAAGTTGGACAAATACCAAAGAACTAAATATTGTTATACTAGTTATGATGATGAATAGGGAAAATGGATAAAAAATGGCGAAAGAGAAAAAAACTTAATGAAAAAACTTCGCTTTATTGCTTTTTATTATATTTCCAATATATTAATAAGTGTGACAATGAGAGCAGCGAGCAAAATATATTTGCAATATTTACCAGTAGACATTAAAATTTTGTTTTTTCGACTATGAATAACCTTATTAAATACTCCAACGAGTTATGAAAAGTTGGAAACTAGACAAGAAATATTTAATTAAGTAAAGCGAGACGTGACGAAGTCATAGAACGGACGGCTAGCGTTCGGTAATTACATTTGAAGAAAATAAAACTGCGATTGTGATCAAAGTGGTATTCACTTCTATGTTGATTATGCATTATGCATTTGCATTTTTCAAATGACTACATCGAAACCGTGATCAAAACAGCTACACGCAAACTCGGAGTCCTGAACAAGGTGCGGCATTTTTTCACGTCTTATTAACTGTGCTTGTTTTTCAAAATACAAGTGCGGTCCTGCGTCGAATATTGCTCACACCTCTGGGATGGCTCCGCTTCACAAGTACTTACTCTTTGCCTTGGATAGGTTGTAGCGGCGCGCTGTCCGCATCATTGGCAACGAAGAGGTTACTAACAAACTCGAGTCTCTACAGTTACGTCGCGATGTGACATCATTAAGTGCATTCTACCCACTATACCACGGCCAGTGTTCTGAGGAGTTATTCTCGCTTATCTCCTTATTACCTTTTCTTCAGAGGACCACACGCTGGTCTACGTTGTCATCGAATTACTGTGGCCAATATTCCTACACGAACAAAGTGGTGACTTATTTCTTTATTGTACTATTCGCAAGTGGAATTCTTTACCCGCGCACGTGTTTCCCACTTCCTATAATCTGGGGCTATTTAAGAGAGGCGTAAATAAGCATTTCTGCAGGGCAGCAAGATGAGGATGGTTAATGTGGCAGTTTATAACTGCTGTAACAGCTATCTTCGCTTCTGGACTTTATCACCGCTTAACATCAGGTGGGGTAGAGTCATTTGCCTATAGAGCTATAAAGAAACTACATTTTGTGAATGGAATTCTTTGCCAATGCGCGAGAATCCTCCTTTTTAAAACCTGAGATCTTTGAAGATGCGTGAAGAAGCAACTAGCAAAGTAAAATGGCTGATGTGAGCCTGAGTGCTGAGCGCAGCGTAGCATAATGAATGGATTAACTTCGCTTTAATTTTTTTCTTTTTTATGATTCCATGAACTAAGGGCTCGGCGCCTAATCCATTATCGACAGAACTATGCTCGATTATCACCGGTCGGACATGGCCAATCAAATCAAACGCATGTAAAAGAAAGAGGGTGCGAACTCTACTACAACCGATGACGCCCGCCCGAATTCATACATTTTGGCGTTGATTCAATCGGTCGATGCCGTCCGAGGTTAGTTCGGCTAATAACGTATCAGATGTATCTGAGCCCTAAAGATGACAATGGAACTTATCCGTCCGGGAGGATATGTTTTCTTATTTCTGATATGACAAATATCATCATGATCATTAGCCACATCAAAGGCCACCTTGGAAATCTCGTTCAAATGTCCGAATCACTGAATAAACATTCAGCAAATAGTACTGAGAGTAAATGATATCTTGATAGTTCTAGACGAATATCTAAAGCCAAGTTTAATAAGAGTATCAAGTTGAGACTATAAGTTACCAGTAAATTTATAGCTTTATTTAAGTTTACGTTCCGTAGCAAGGAATGACATGACACGCGTAAGTTATAAATGGACTTGGACTTGGTTGTAAAGTGATGTTGGTATGCCGCACCGTGTTTCCTCGACATTTAATGGGTTTTGTAAAACAGTAAGTAAAAAGGCTTAAAATATGTACAATGGGTATGCATAAACATCAGGAATGAATGAAGTATTGCGCGGACGAAGTCCTTAAAAATCAGTTTCGGGTATCTTAAATTCCGCAGAATATAACATCATTATACTTATATTTGACATGAAACTTTTTAAATTAAAAGATATCTGTTTTTTCTTATTTTTAGTGGGTTATTATTAAACAAAAGCAAAACCGTTGCTTAACTATACCATAAAAACTCCAACGTAATACTCGTACAATAAACAATAAAGCTCAGTAACAACATGTAATTGGGAAAAACTGGCAAATTGCTCAGAAATTTTATTGACTTCCAACAGTTCTTTTAATGTTTGTGACAAAATATCTTAGTGTGAGCGACGCTTGTCACCAGTAATTTCTCCAAGGTTGAAATAAATCATTTATACGTCAACAGAAATTACTGAATAGAAAATTTTATTTACATCGCTGAAAATTAGAGGGCCCGTAATTTCGCGGTGTAGGTACCCAAAACGAAAATAAGCGTTATGTTTCTTTTGATTGAATTTTACTTTACGATTTCTGAGAAGTCATCACAGACTGTCGACTTTTTCCTCCCAAATGACTATTGTATACTACACAATAACTTCAACAATTTATGAAATAAAAATTTTCAGAAACTGGGTTTAGTAAATGAAAATGACTTTTTTATGTAAGAGTACTGAGTGATTATGCAATAAAAATGATTTACTGATTGTTTTATTTAAAAGGTCATAAAATAAAATCCGCATAATAAGATATGAACAACGTATCTGTTTTCAGTAAAAATTCACCATCAAGATTCAAATGTGACACAATAATGCAGACTATTAAGGAGCTATTCCGATCTCGGCTGCAAGCTGCGGGTATACGACTAATTAATTTGCATTTGTATGAAATTTATTCCGGTAGCAGCTGCAAGCTGATGTTGCAGGCAGCACGCGCAGCTGCAGCCTGATTCGGAATAGCACCTTTAGCTACCAAATAGGTAACCAAGTAACCAAACAGGATATCTGATGCATCAAATTTACTTACCCAGGATACCAAGTCTGTAGTTTATGGTGATGACCACGACACCAGCGTAGCTCGAAAGAACAGCTCCATCGTAAACATTTCCAGAATTCCATTCAAAGGATTCTCCATGAATGAAGATGACAACTGGATATTTAGCTTGCAGAGTTGGACCAACTGTAAAGAGAACATTCGTTAAGCCAACTACGATGACTGGAGAATCATTAGATTCTGTGATAAAAATTAAATCTTTAGAAAGGTATCCGTTAATAAAATTTACTGGGAAACTTGAGAGTTCACGTCAAAAACAATTTCCAGAAGGCCAAGTTATCAAGGTAATACGGATTTCAAAAGGTCGTCTGGATGAGACGATTTATCTAGTTCACTAACCATATAAAAATATATCCCTGCATTTTTATCGTTCAACAGGTTTTATACAACATATTGAATGTAAGGCTCACTAATTACAACAATTATTTTAAAATACGCATAGAGTTTGATAAAAGTAAAAATGGATGCACGTGATTTTTATTAAAGTAAAAAGGAATCAAGTATGATTGTTGTTGTTTTGAATTTCATTGATAACACTTACAAGCAATTACATAAGTGCAGTAGAAATAAAAACACAAGGCACAATGTTATCCCCGCGCTTAGAACAAATACCATTATCGTAGCAAACAACGAAAACCTTTTCTCGACTGTGATTAAAACTCTCAGCTGGTGCAAAGAAACTTAAAGATTCATTATATTCTGAATGAACACTATTGACATGAAATATTAAAATTTATCGGAGCGAAATGACAAAGAAAGCCACCACCAGATTTGAGTTTGCAAATAGTAATTTCTGTTCAGTCACGATTTCAATTTTAGAACGTGCGGTCGATGTTGCATTGCATTTCGTTTTGCTTTTGAACATTGGTTTAAAAATTTTTAAAACTGATTACTGATTCTTAAAATAATGTTTAGCATCAAAGCCCTGTCTTTTTTCTTCCTTGTTTTGTTAATAAGCAATTATGTCACGTTTTTTTTATATTGTTTTTTCTGCGTTTTTTTATCTTTAAGACTTTGAATATCTTTCTGTATTTTTTTGTATGTATAATATAATAATTCGAGAGACTCAGACTTGCGGATATTAAAATATTTTGAAAATTAAAGCCCAAAGTTTTTAGGGTTCCGTAGTCCTGAGAAGGAACCCTTATAGTTTCGTCATGTCCGTCTGTCCGTCCCCGGTTTTGCTTGGATAATATTAGCACTAGTAAGCTGTAATTTGTGGAGTTATGTATATCAATCTCGCCGTCAAAATGATAGAATAAATTTTTGAAAAATATTTTTTTTTTAGCCTTGGAGGAAACAAAAACCGGCGAATATCATTCGTATTTTAAAAAAAATAACTTCAAATTGATTTTGAGTTTGAGGCGTAGTTTCACTTTGATTTAGGTATTTTAGTGATACATAGATCGATATTAATTGATTTTTCTAATTTCCGATATAGAAAAGAAAGACCTGCTCAAATATATTGTGGTAACTACAGGCAACTATAGAACCCTGCGCGTGGCACGACACGCACTGGGTCGGTTTTTTTGTCTATCTTGGTTTTATAAAAGTTTAGTTTTTTTTTTAATTAAATTGTGTCAATGATGAGGATTGATCTTTATGGCTTAGAATACCTCTCCCTAATAAACTTAGTCTGTCTTTAAAAATAAGTATATACAGTGTAAACTTTATATAAGGACATTAAAGGGACTGTACATTTTATGGCGTTATAGAGAGTTGTCGTTAAATGGAAAGAAGAAAAAACAGAACTATGAAAAGAAAAGTTTATTTCAAGCTAGTAGTTATGTACATAAAAAATTATCTTATTTGAACTCTATTGCGTATATTCTGTTATTTTTGACTGACGTCTTTTGCTGCACCAGTAATTTTGTTGTTAATACAACAAAAAAAAATTTTTAGTCATGGTCAACAACAGTCTACACGTGCAATCCCAATTGGAAAACAAAAGAACTAATTTCTTAGAAAATTTGGTTTGCATGACGCCGACAGTCTAGTTTATTATGGGCTAGAATAATAAAGCGTCAAAAGAACATACACAGCTGCGCGATTTACATTAATTTTGGCAACTTAAAGGGTACTTTTTATTACTTAATTGTTGTCGTTATTGAGAGTGGGTTTTGCTATATGGAGTGAATCATTGTATGGAAAAGAAACTAAACCAACCAAAGACCAGTGATTTCGACGCTTTAAGGAGTTTGTCGTTAAATCGTAACATGGAGTTTACACTGTATTGCATCCAACAAAGCCAACCTTAATGAACCATTGACGAACATTATAATGATTTCGATAGAATTAATTGATTAACATGTTAATTTCAGTATTAATTACTAAAGTCAATGGAATCGGTAATTAATTTAACTGACTGGGTTACAATTTTTAATACTTAAAAAGTATTTTTTTATAAATAATCAATTGATACAAACTTATTCTTTCTTCTTAAAATGCGATTCATTGATTTGAGTATCCATGAAGTAAAATACTCCTCTATTGTTTTTTCTAGACCGATACATTCTGCCGATCAACAATTTGATTATCGTATGATAAAGCTCCGGTACACTGTCCCCTGATAAAGATTTCTTTGTCCACCCTAACAATAGGCACGTGTAATTGTTTACGGAGGAACAGAATGCCGTGTGGTGATGAAAGGTTTCCCATTGTCATAGGATAAGTACACAGACCTCCTTCAATCCACTCTTTTGTTGTTGGATTAATTAAGTATGATCAATTGCACACGTGTAATGGAATTTATAAATAAATAAGGATTGTGTAGAATTCCAATCCCACTGATTTAAACCTGAAATTGATAGTTTATGTTATAGAAATACTAACAACTTCTTTATTTCATCTCAAAGTTACAATCCATCCTCTTAGATAAAATTTGTAAATGCAGAAAGTTCATTACACAGCTGGAGGTTTACGGTAACAGCTGTACTAGTATAGACTATGTCACAGCTGCCAGTGTCTTCCACCCTGATTCAATACTTTAGGACGTTTTATCCATGACGACGAAGAGATATATTTGAAGTATATTTTAAATTCACCTAAAATCAAGGATGTCTTAAGAACAAAAATATAATATCATTTTGTCATAAGATAACATATAGTATTAAATAGTCAGGAAGAACATGATGTTGTGTTATGTAACACAAAAACTCTAGCTTGAGACGATAAAAAGCAAGTAAATACATGAGCTGCTAGTTTTCCAACGAAGATAGGTAGATTAGAAAAAATCTGTCAAGAAACAGAGTAACGTTAGATATTTTTATGCTAAATAGAAGCGAACCTGCTTGATGAAGCGTTAACTATAGATGTTCTGATAGGTACTGACTGGCTGGCATAATCAATGTGTTTTTAACAACAAAAAATAAAAAAACGAGTTTGCTTATGACCGCTCGACTGAATTGAAAGTCAATAAGAAAGTATAATCTACAACAATATGGTGAAATATGAACAAATTTAAGAATAATTAAAACAAAAAATATACTATAACAATGAACCTAAAACTAAAAACCTTAAAAAGTAAAATATAATAACTAACATACATTATTAAAAGGAGTCCCTTTAGGCAAGGTTCCGAAGATACTGGCAGCGTTCCCCCTTTGGATAGCTAGACTAATTCTTTGTCCGAGGTAGCTGCCAGCTCTTCGGTCTCCTGTGATGTCGACTAATCTTTTTGCTATTTCTGTAAAAAGCCTTATAGCGCTAGGACCCCACGGACCAAGGGTAAAGTTGTTTAGCTCGTGCATATACATGCATGTACATATACATACATATTTCATTTACTAGCTATAAGAGAAAGAGAGAAAGAAAATGAGCGTGCGCACTGCTTTCTCTTGCTTATATCCCTCACTCAACCCCCGTTCGCCTCGCCCGAACACACTTTTCGTAACGCGTAACACATTCGCCAGTTTACCCCCAAGTCAAGCGTGCGTAAAGAAGTTTCACTTAAAATAAAATAACAATTCCTATCGATAACTTTGCACATAATGTAGAACTTGAATTATCTATATATATAAAACTCAAAGGTGACTGACTGACTGACTGACATAGTGATCTATCAACGCACAGCCCAAACCACTGGACGGATCGGGCTGAAATTTGGCATGCAGGTAGATGTTATGACGTAGGCTTTCGCTAAGAAAGGATTTTGATCATTTCTACCCCCAAGGGGATAAAACACCGAAGCGAAGCGAGGGCCGGCGACTAGTTTATTATAAATTGCTTGTTTTGAGAACGTGTGGTACCCTTGGTGCTGCAAATGTCCATGGCGACAGTGACCACTTACCATCAGTGGACTGCCCGCTCGTTTGCCAGCGCAAACATGAAAAAGAGGAACGAACGATTTTTTTTCAATGTTATACAAAACGCAGCAATGCATTTCTTCGTGTAAGTGAAGTCACGAAAATTGTTGATGCTGCAGCTATATTTACCTTGCTGGCCTGAATCAATCCCCTACCCGTGAAGATTTGGAACCCAACAACAAAAATGCAACAGTACCAAAATGTGATAATAATTTAGCGTGATTTACTTCAGGGAAAGGTTAAGGTTACTTTATCAAATTGCCTCACTAATACAATAGGCAAATCCGCTTTGCTCTCATAATACCAGCAGTATAGCAGACATATTAAGCGGCATGACAAATCTGTTTTGTATGAGGTTTTTGCACCTTTATAAGGTATGCTTCGAAACATGTATCTATAGTAACAGTTTCTAAGAAGTATTACAAAGAAAATCGCACAAAGAGTTCTGTCCGCATGTTGCCTTTGCTATCTACTTCTCGCATGACAGATTCGCGCTCGTCAGATAGACGCACTTTGGCCAAGCTCCAACGGATATGAATTATGTTTTTCTCATTGGATTTCGATGAAAATGCTCTTATTGTTTCATGGAAGCTTTTGACGGAATATTGTGTTGTTGAATAAATATGAGTTCACATTGTATTTGGGACAATGCTTGAACGTATAATTCTGGAGAAACAATTTTAATATAACTTGTAGTATTATATATTATTTTCAGATTCATAGGGATAAATCATATATTTCTAACTTTTCTTGTGTTATTGCCAACTTATAATTCAGAAGTAATAATAATATTTTTGTAATCAAACTGTTTCCTTCCAAAAT